GTGTTAATTGGTTTCCCTTTTCTTTGTTGAAGAGGGTCTGTGCAATCCTTCTGCCTAGTCCGCCATCTTGCCCCGCCTCCACTTTTAAAAACTTTTATTTTGAAATAATTTTAGAACAGTTACAAAAATAGTAGAGTTCTTATAGCCTCTTTACTCAGTTTTTCCTGATACCAACATCTTACGTAACTGTATCAGAGAACAATGATTATAATCAGGAAATATACTTATTACTTACTTATGTAATATTATTAACTAGTCTATAGACCTTATTGAAAGTTTTTCAGGTTTCCTACTAATTTCTAGTACAGAATTCAATTCAGGATCTCATATTTTATTTTGTTACTGTATCTGTTTAGTCTCCTTCAGTCTGTTACAGCTCCCAGTCTAGTCTGTCTGTGTCTTTTTTGTCCTTCCTTGATGATTTTATTTAAGGACCCCCTGGTGGCATAGTAGTTAAAGCATTTGTCTGCTAACCAAAGGTCAGGAGTTCAAACCTGCCAGCCATTCTGCAGGAAAAAGATGTGGCATTCTGCTTCTATAAAAATTTATAGGCTTGGAAACCCCATGGGGAGGTTCTGTTATGTCTTTTAGGGTTGCTATGAGTGGGAAACAACTCTGTGGCAATGAGATGTGGTTCAGTGGCTGGTTATTTTGTAAAACATCCCTTAGTATAGGTTTGTCTGGTGTTTTCTCAAGATTAGACTGAGAGCTATGTGTTTTTGGCAAGAATACCATTGAAGCATGCTTGCCCTCTCTCATTGTGAATCATATCAGAGGTATGTGAGGTTGATATGTCTTTTTACTGCTGCTGATGACTTTGATCTGTTGGTTAGAGTGTGTCTTCCATGTTCCTCCAAAGTAAAAATACTATATTCCCTTTTATAATTAGTGAATATTTTGTGGAGGGATTCTTTGAAATTATGTAAATATTCTGTTTCTCGTCATACTTTTGTGTACTTACTATAGTATCCATCAAGGATACTTGCCTGTAATTATATTGTGGTGTTTGCCCAATGATGATTTTCTATTTTCGTCATGTTTTCTACAGTTACTTGGAATTCTGTTGTGAGAAAGAGCTGTACTTTTTCTCTGTTAATTTGCTTAATTATTTGTGTCAGTATGCACTCTTGGATATTTATTATTTTCTGGGAGCTATAATCCAGTGCTGTTTTTTTATTTTTTATTTTATTGCGCAAAATGTCCAAGATTTGGTTCTCAAGAGCTCTGCTGTTGGCAGCTCTTCCAAGAGGGCTGCTGTGTCTTTTTGACATGCCCTATAATTTTTAAGCGCTTTTTTACTTTCTGGCACTATAAGATATTGTAGGCTCATCTTTTTTTCCTGCACTGCACTGGAATCAACTATTTCTCTAAGGTACTCTGATTTCTTTTGTTGGAAAATATATTTAGAAACCAGGATCTGGGTGCTAGATGTTCTTATTGCTTTTGAAGTATGATTGCTTCTAGGCCCTCCTGGTAGATAAGTGTATATGGTAGATATATATGTATGTGTATTCAAGCATGCAAACGTGTTGTTGTTTTCTTTTACTGAGATGATTCCAACTCATAGTGACCTTATATGATAGTAGAACTTCCCATAAGATTTCGTAGGCTGTATGTAATCTTTATGGGAGCAGATTGCCAGGTCTTTTCCCCCACAGAGCCACTGGGTGGGTTGGAACTGCTACACCTTTTGATTAGCAGCTGAGTGCTTAACGTGTGTACCACCAAGGCTCCTTGCATGATCCATCCACAGCTATGTTTATTTGTTCTTTTTGGTTGTTGTGGAATTTGTTTTGTTAGTTGCTGTTGAATAGAATGAAACGTTGGCTGATCCTGCTCGAATTCCATGATCTTTGGTATATTTGATCCCATTCTTGCAGCCATTGTGCCAGTCAAGAATGTTGTTGTGGTTCATCAAGTCAATTCTGACACACAGCAATCCTATAGGATAGAGTAGACTCCCTTGTAGGGTTTCCTAGGCTGAAATCTTTACTGAAACAGACTGCCACATCTTTATCCCACAGAATGGCTGGTGGGTCTGAACTGCAACCTTTCGATTAACAGTTAAGTGCTTAACTACTGCACCACCAGGGCTCCTTGTACACATATATTAAAACAACAAAAAACAAAAAACAACCTCTTGCCATCAAATCCATTTCAACTCATAGTGAACTTATAGGACAGAGTATACTGCCACATCTTCGTCCTGTGGAGCAGGCTGGTAGGTTTGAACCACTGACCTTTTGGTTAGCAGCCAAATGTTTTAACCACTGTACCACCAGAGCTATTTATATACATACATACATATCTATATATATTTTATGTCTGGCTATGGATGTGTATATTAAAAGCTGTGATGTCTTCAATTCCAGTCCAATACCACAGGTTTCATTGTAACCTTTTTCTTTTCTTACTTGTAACTCCTTTCTTGAACAGTGAGAAACCTAGCGCTCATCCAAAATATATTTACTTAGTTGCTCCTCTGATGGTGCTGTGGTTAAGGCATTTTGGCTGCTCACCAAAAGCTTGGTGGTTCAAACCCACCAGCTGCTCCACGAAAGAAAGACAAGGCAGTCTGTCTACTTCCATGAAGATTTTTAGCCTTGGAAAGGCTATAGGGGTCACTATGAGTTGGAGTTGAGTCAGTGCCAGTGAGTTTGGTTTGACATATACATGTAAAGTAGTTTCAGTAAAAAACAAATTTGCTAACTAGAATGTATTTTTTTATGTTTAGTCCTTTTTTTGTCTGTAGGCTTACAGTAGTATATAGTCAAAAAACTATTTTCCGAGGTGACATAACTTGTTTTTTTCCTTCCTCAATCCCCTCACTAATAGGTTCATTTATTAACTGTTAATACATTGTGGGTTCCCCCTACATCCTATTTAATTTATTCATCTATTTTTGGGGGTTTATATACCATTTCAGTGGTTCTAAAAGACCTATATGAAAGGTATACCAGAAATTCCGTACCAGTGGCATAGCTTCCAGTACCACAGCAACATGCAAGCCACCTCAGTGCGACAGACTGACAGATGAGTGGTGGATACATGTTATCTACCAAAATGTAATTGACTTTTCTAAGTCCACCTCATATCTTAGGACTTTGCTAAGTTCACTTATTAGTTCTAGTAACTTTTTTCAAAAAAATTCTTTGAGATTTTCCATACAGACAATCATCTGGTCCATGAAGAGAGTTTTATTTAATTCTTTCCAATCTGTAAGACTTTATTACCTTACTGTATGGGTGCCAGGAGGTAGCATTTCTTTATTTTTGTTGTTGATCCTTTTCTTTTTTTTTTTTTTTTTAATGCTTTATTTCACTTGGGAGCTCTGGTGGTGTAGTGCCTAAGGCATTTGACTGCTATCCAGAAGGCTGGCGGTTCAAACGCATCAGCCATTCCTTGGAAGGAAAATTGGGCAATCTACTTCCATAGTGATACTGCCTCAGAAACCCGAGGAGGGATCGCTATGAATCAGATTCGATTTGATGGCAGTGAGTTTGGGTTTTTGGTTTTTTTATTTCACTTAACAACATACACTGGAAATCACTCCATATGAATTCATAGTCACCATCCTTATTCTTTTTTCATAGCTACATAGTAGTACTCCATTGTGTAGATGTACCATAGTTTGTATAAATACATGTTCTTATTTCCCCAGCACCATAGAAGGTGTACAGGAGAGTAAATCTTTATAAATAAAGCCAGCTCTGTGCTGATGTCTTTTACAGATTTTCCAGAAGTGCTCTGGGCTGCCTTCCTTATTTCCCCCGTTACCTCTATGGGCTTTTTTTTTTTTTCCTCTGCCTCAGAAAATCAGCTTCTTTTCAGACACTTCTGTTGTTGAGCAGAAGGATTGTTCACTCATCAGAAATACAGTAGTTTCCCCTGATGGACTTAGTAAGAACTACCTCTGCAAGTGCTATTCTTCCTCTGGAAAATAGAGTTAGAGTTGTAAGGAGAGACTAAGTAGGAGGTGATGGGAAATGCTAGGAGTAATTCTTGTGTAGTCTAAGCAAAGATGATATGTTCTATTCTCAGTATTCTTTCACATCTCTGTTTTAGGTTAAATATTTTTTGTTTTGGGAGCTCTGGTAGCGTAGTGCCTAAGGCACTTGACTGCTAACCAGAAGGCTGGGGTTCAAACCCACCAGCCACTCCTCGGAAGGAACATGGGGCAATCTACTTCCGTAGTGATACTGCCTCAGAAACCCAAGGAAGGGTCGCTATGAGATGGGTCCGACATGACGGTACATAACAACAACAACATTTTTTGTTTTAGAATTTTAATAATATAAAATTAACATAATATCACTGATAAAAAATTAGAAATGTAGGTAGGCAGGGGAAAATATTAAAATCACCCAAAATTCTACCATTGGGAGAATACCACTGTTAAAATTTTGGTTTATAGCTTTCTAACCTTTTTACCTATCTAAATGTATTGAATATATGTATGCATAGTTGTATCTCTCTATTTTTTTTTTTTTAACAAAAATTTTACTTAACTATGTGATACTTTCTCATTAGGTTTTTTTTTTTTTTTGGTTTTGTTTTGTTTTTTAAATCTGTAGGTAAAGTGTTTTATCTGAAAGACTATTGCCCTTTGTTAAAAATCAAATTCTTCTAAGGCTATAGACAATTATGCTTAAGAGGGTCTTACATCTTGTAATTCATATATATATATATATATATATACGAATGAGAATGTATCATGAAACTCCAGAATTACACACCCTAAAGAGTTGTGTTTGAATATTTGGGATATTTTAATTGGATTCCTCCAATAAATTGTTTCTTATCTTATAGTTAAAATATACCCGCCCTGGGCTACCTACCTTCAGCCAGGAAGTACTACACAAATGGAAGGTAGAGGTCAAGAAGTATCATCACATTCAGTGTCCTAACCAGGTGATTCTTTCTTACTCATTTATTTAGTAAATATTCTTCAAGTGTCTGCTATTGTTTCAGTTGTTTCTTACTTTGAGACAAAGCACCTGCCTTAATGGCTTAAAATAACAATTATTTTGTTTGTTCACAATTGTCTTGGTCAATAATTCTATAAGGGCTCAGAGGGGAAGTTACCCTGTTTTATGTGGCATCTGCTGGATCACTCATGGGGTTTTATTTAGTTGGGAGCTTGACTTTCCACATGACCTCTGTCTCCAGCAGGTCATTGGACTACAGGAGGGTACATGGTGGCTGACTTCTAAGAGAGAGTGTTACTAGTACATGAGTGCAGAAGCTGCAGATTTCTTATGGCCTGGCCTCACAAGTTACATAACATCACTTCCATGGCATTCTGTTGGTGAGAGCAATCCCAGGGCTATCTCACATTCAAGGGAGAGGAAATACATTCTACCTCTTGATGGGAAGCATACAGAGAATCTGCAGCCGTCTTTAATCTGCCACACCTGTATGTGCAACACTTTGAGGAGGAGTAGATAGAAAATTAATAGACATATTTGCATTTAAAGAAAACAAATTTTCTAAAAATCTGACTGTATAATTTTCTGTGTTTCTCTAAGTGTCAGAGAAAGCACCTGGAAAGGGAATGGCTTAAGGTTCTCTAATCAACTGCACCACCTGCTCACCTCTTTTTCTTCTGCCTTTGTTTGGCTTTCCTTCTTGCTTTTGTGACTTGGATGTTGTAGATTCTTTTTCTGTTTGGTTTGTGGTGCTATTTATTGGTCTTTTTCCTCCAGATCAGTGAAAATGTACTGATTACTTAGAGAAGGATGCTGTTTGGCATGATCTTCACATTGTATCTTTTTTTTTCCCCAGGGTTGCGAGGCTGTCTACAGTAGTGTATCTGGCCTTAAAGCTCACTTGGGCTCTTGCACATTGGTTTGTAACCTTTTAAATCTAATACCTTGACATGTGATTTAAAATAGTTTGATGTGAAAGAGTATTCCATTTCAGTGAACAGTTAGTTGTCCTGTTTAGTGTTATCTTCAATGAGTGTGGTTTAGTTTTTTATATTGTAAAGATTGTTTGATTACTATTGGGTGGGATGCCAGGCATTTCCAAACTCAGAAAAGGCTGTCATATCCATAAGTCATATATAAATTGAAGGAATTTGGAGAAATATACATTACTTCTGAGTCCCTATCAGGGATTTAGGTCCTTCCACCTGAGCCTGTCTCACACTGAGCCCGCCCGCCCTATATTATTGGACCTAAAACGTAGAATCAACTTCCATGTGCTTATTTGAATTGTTAAAGGTCTCCTAAACTCAAATCAAAGCAATACCAACCTCTGGGGATGGCAGGTGGGATAGAATATCAGCCATTCACTACACTTAATCTTTTCCATGTTGACCCAGGTTTCCTATAACCCATCAGCAATGGGGATTGCTGTCACTTTCCAAACCCATTCAGAAATACCTCCTTGTATAAAATGAGCACCATGGAAACTTGAAGGCTCATAGGAGAGAGAAGTCTCAGTTCAGGGCAACAAGGGAATCTGGCAACATGTCTAGGAATGCTTAGGAGTTTGTCATCTTGATCCTATTTTCTGAGTTTTTACAGTCAGTTTCTGAATCTCTTGAGAAGAACCAAGAGAATTGGGCAGTGAAGTGAAAGAGACATGGGAGGGAAGGTAGGAATATCTGGTGTTATATAATAGAAGCAGAGCTTCAGATGTGTTGACAGTTGGGGTGAGTGTTTGATACAGAAATACATTAGAATAGGTTTCTGTTGGTGAAAGTCAGTCCTAGTTTGGTTCCTTAAATATTGTAGTTTGGGATCTTTTTCCTTCTTTCTTTTGCTTATGTAGATCCCCCTTTTTTTTTTTTTATCTCTTAACAGTTCTTATACATAACACAGGTATGTGTCCCTGTATGAATCAACAGTTCCCTTTTTTTTCTTTTTCTTGGAAACAGGGAAACTTTGTGGCTGGAAAATACAAATGTCTTCTGTGCCAGAAAGAATTTGTGTCAGAGAGTGGTGTCAAATATCACATCAACTCTGTTCATGCTGAGGTGAGGTCCCTGTTTTTCCATATTGTTTGCATTATTCTATGGATCCTGTATGTAAGCTACAGGTAGTTGATTTTGTCCCTGTTTTTATGCGATAGTATAACTCTAAAACAGTTACAAGAGACACTGGTAGTTAAAATGATCTCTGAAATTAGACGCTTAGTTGTATTTTTCTGTGAAAGCATTTGAAATGTGAGTCTGAGTATCCTGGAGCTCTTACAGTTCTATCAAATCCAGTGAAATCAGGCATTTGGGAACCAGGTTGAACTTCTGTCTTAGGGATCCTTATTTCTCAGTGATCTCTGTACTTCTAAGTTTCCTGGTACCCTAAGATCCTCCAGCAGCCTGTTTTTAGTGCTATATAAAATACTGCATAAAAACAGCCATAAAGAATATTATTGAGATAGTTGGGGAAATTTGAAGACTGACTATATTAAGTAACAGTACTGTGTCAATGTGATTAATTTTATTGTAGTTACGTAGGAGACTGTCTTTGTTCTTAGCTATATACCTGCTGAAGTATTAGGGATATGCTGAAATATTTAGGGATGAAGTATGATGATGTTTGCAACTAACTTGCAAACAGTTCAGCAAAAGAAGGAAGAAAGAGATTGTTGTTGTTGTTGTTATTTGCCCTCGAGTTGGCCCCGACTTATAGCGACCCCCCTTGGGTTTCCGAGGCAGTATCACTACGGAAGTAAGATTGCCCAACCTTCCTTCTGAGGAGTGGCTGGTGGGTTTGAACCGCCAGCCTTCTGGTTAGCAGTCAAGTGCTTTAGCCACTATGCTACCAGAGCTCCCAGAAAGAGATTAGGAATGGTAAATCCAGGTGAAGGATATATGGATGTTCATTGAACTATTGCAACTTTTCTGAAGGTTTGTAAATTTTCAGAATAAGAAAACATACCATGTAAAATGATTTAAAGTTCAGGAGGTTAAGATTTTTCTCTTGGGGGAATTTTTAATAGTATAGGTGCACAGAGAAATTGCTTACTATATCATTAAATAGCCTTATTTATGTAACAAAACTCAAGGATTAAGAGTGTGCATTATCTTAGAATATCTTACTTATAGAAACTGTACATTGCCATACAGAAAAATGCAGTGAGTACCTTTAGCTGTTTCCTGCCTTCAGGTTTAATAGTTCTTAACAAAGTGGGCTTTAATTAGTTTCTTCAAATATGGTTTCTATCGCTTTACTGGGAGCTCTGGTAGTGTAGTGCCTAAGGCACTTGACTCCTAACCAGAAGGCTGCTGGTTAAAACCCATCAGCCACTTCTCGGAAGGAAAATGGGGCAATCTACTTCCGTAGTGATACTGCCTCGGAAACCCAAGGAGGGGTCTCATGAGTTGGGTCTGACTCGATGGCACATAACAACAATAACATCGCTTTACTAGTTTAAGCTTGGGAATCCAGTTCCAGAATCAAATGTCTTTGGAATGTGGTCATATCTTCTCTATAGAGTGAACCTGTTTATGCCTCAGGAAGATAATTATCTCCTGATAAAATTTGGCCTTCATAGAGTTGACTTATTTCCCCAGTTTCTTCCTAAAAGAATTGGAATCAATAAAGATCTTCATTTCACTCATTTTGTGTAGTGATTTGTGCCTTGATTTATAAATTTTAGGTTGTCATCAAACATTTTCATCCTGCCTTAAATTTTCTCATACTACTGTTTCTCCTTTTTTCAAAGTTATGGAATATTTTAGATGAACGATAATGGATAGACTAGTGTAATGAACCGAATATACCTGCCAGGCAGCTTCAACAGTCACCCGTATATGGCCAGTCTTATTTTTTATAAATCCATTCCCTTTTCGTCTCCCTTAAAGTCTGATTTAAAGCACATCCCAGATAACAGTGCAGCTGAAATATTTTAGTATATAGCAATAAAAAATAAGGGTTTTTAAAACCATATAACTACAACTATCATCACAACTAAAATAGCATAGATTCTCTAATATCATCATATAGCTAGTCAGTATTTAAATTTCCCTGATTGTCTCATGGTTTTTTTTTCAGGGTTGGCTTGTTCAAATCAGGATCTGAAAAAAGTGCACATACTGTATTTGTCTGTTTTAATCTAGTACAGAACTATCTAATGGAAGTGCAATGTGAGCCATGTATGTAATTAAAAAATTTCTGGTAGCTACATTATAAAAAGTATAAGTGAAACAGGTGAAATTAATTTTAATATGTTCTATTTAACCCAATATATCCAAAATAGTATCTTTTTAACATATAATCAATAAAAATTATTGATATAGTTTACATTTTTTCCTGTAGTAAGTCTCTGAAATATGATGTGTGTTTCACACTGAAAGCGTACCTCAGTTTGGGTTAGCTACATTTCAAGAGCTCATCAACCGCTAGTGGCTACCTCACTGGACAATGCAGGTCCAGAAGTTTTGCTTTCTTTTTTTTTTTTTTTTTTTTGTGGTCTCCCTTTGCCATTTATTTGTTGAAGAAACCGGGTCATTTGTCAAATATAATTGCCTACATTCTGGATTTTGCTGATTGCATCCTTGTGGTGGTCTTCCCCTACCTTAGGCATTTCCTGTAAATTACTAGTTCTAACTAGTCTAGAAGACTTAGCACTTGATTAAATTTGAGTTCTTTTTTAATTTTTTGGTAAGAATACTTCATAATTGGATTATATGGATTATTATTTATAATGAATGACTGCTGTGTCTTGAAGTTCTTCAACTTAAAATACAAACACCAAAGCTCTGGTTCCATACAGTTTCCTCCTTATTGTATTGTCTCTTAATCGTGCCTTTTTATTCTTCCTTCTTCATGTGCTACATTGTATCTTTGAATGATTTTTCTGTTTTGCCTTTAGGACTGGTTCATTGTAAACCCATCAACAACCAAAAGCTTTGAAAAGCTGATGAAGATAAAGCAGCGGCAGCAGGAAGAAGAAAAGCGGAGGCAGCAGCACAGGAGCAGAAGGTCTCTAAGAAGGCGGCAGCAATCTGACCCTGAGCATGCTGAGACAGAGCTGAGTCTTAGAGTAGGGAAGGAGCAGAGGCGGAGTAATGAGGAACTGGTAGTGTCGACCTCCTGTAAGGAACCAGAGCAGGAGCCAGTACCAGCACATTTCCAGAAAGTAAAGCCCCCAAAGACTAATCGTAGACGAGGGAGGAAATACAGGCAGGCAGTGTGAGTGCTCCTAGAGTGGATGTGATGCTGTTGTCACAGGGACCTGTGCTGGGAGGATTGAGTCATGGGGGCTGAGCAAGAGAAATGTACTTTTTCATCTGTTTGTGACTTTCTCAGCTTTTTCCTCCTATGTAAATTTCCCTGTTTTCCCTACTTACTCACTTCCTCCCCCTTATGGTAGGTTTTCCTGCTATTCCTTAATGGAGTCTTCTTGTTTTACTGACTCATACCTTGCCCAAAGAGATATCTTGCTCTCTTAAGGCCAACTATAGGCCTTTCTTGCCCTGTATAAAACTAAGAAGCCTGTTTGGTGTCCTTTCTTTCCTGGGGTGTAGAATGTTCTTGGAAACTCCATTGATTTAGTAGCTCCATCATCTAGCTTATAAAACAATTCCAAACTAAGTTTTAAAACCATAACTGATTTATCATTTTGTATTTGTGATATAATAAGCCTAGAACTAGAACTGTTGTCATTTATGTAATAGGGTTACCCTGTCTCCTTGGGAAACAAAATTTTATGGAGTCAGTTTGTTAATGGTTTTAACAAACAATGCAATACAGTTTTAGGAGTGAAAGTAAGAAAATGGATTTAGGAGATGAAAAAGGTAGAACCTCCCTACTCTGTTCATATTGGGAAATGTCTTGTTTATATCAAGTAGCAGTGACTAACTAGACCCACAGCCATGAAAATCAGGCTTAGGAGTAAACAATAAAATGACTGGAAAGAAGAAAGTAGAAGCAGCAATAAATTCTGTCCCAGCTCTCTTGGGGCTATGGTCTCATGTGCTATTAGTGCCATCCTGAGGTTTGCTTCTGCTCCCTTGATGTTCAGGATTGGTAACTGTCACATTGTCCCTGATGTTTTGGCATAGTGCTCCTGGTAATATCCTAATATTGGCAGACAAGGTGCACATTTCTTTTCCCCTCGGCTTTACCTCACTTGCTAATCTAAACCCCAAGAGTCCTCCTCAAACTCAGCCATTTCTCTTGTCGGAAAATTTCTGAGAATATTGTCCTTCCATGAAGTTCTGTCCACTTTATGTCCTGATACTTTGAATACCAGATATAGACACTTATCTGGAGATGAAAAGAAAAACTTTTTTTCTGTACCTCATGCCTACCTGCTCTTGTCTAATGGGCTTTTTCTCTTTGATGCTCGCTTTCTCTGGGGTATTGGTTATAGCAGCTTTCTTGTTATGTTTCTGGATTCTCTTCCCTTTTTCCATAAATATTGGTCTTATGTATTCTTGCCTATTTTTGTGGTATGCCGCATAAAAAATTAGGGACCCTTAACCCTGATATGGACATGTAACTACCTTTTCAAAGTCTGAAAGGCTGTTATCACTCTTTAACTCTCTGTTATTCTTTGTGCTCCTCCATATAGCTTTAAAATGTGGGCTTTTGTGAAGACCACTTTCAAATTAGGGAGCATTGAAACCTGATTTGGATGCTGCCAGAATAGGTAGTTTTGAAACAAGTGAAGTACCTGGTATATTTTCATTGGCAATTGTGCCCTTAAAGCCTTTTCAGTAGATAAGGGTTGCCAGGGAGGAGAAATGAAGCTATGTTAATTTCTGGTAAGAATGAATTGGGGAATGTTTGGCAATGACAAAAGAAATAAATGACTCTTGGTTAGAATGCTGTTTCCAGTTGTTCATTGACTCTGGCCTGCCACTTAACTCCTTGCTGACGTAGTATATGGGGGTAAGAAGATGGTTGGGGATGGATATGAGTTTGAAGTAAGTTCTGAATGCAGTTGTCTCAGTAATTCTTCAGCTCTTAGATTCTGCGTGCTGGTTAAAATGAATAACTTGAGATTAAAATGAGTCAGTATAGGAAAGTTGCCCAATCCTATTCAGAGCCCTTCTAGGCACTCCTTTCATTTTCCTTCCTGAGGCCAGGGATCAGCATAGGAGATATGACAATCTTAATCACAATATAGTTTTTTAAGTTTCTTTTAAAAAATAAAAATTAGGACAACATATAATAAGTCCGAAATATCAAGTGTAGCTAGGTTGTGGAGCAAGAACTTTCATACATGGTTTGGAAAAGTGTAAGTTGCTACAGTCACTGAAAACAAAAAGTACATAGCAAAGTTGAATATGTTCTCTAAGACTCAGCCATTCCACTCCTAGGTAAAAAAAGAGACTCTCTTCTTGCTGAGATGTATCAGGAGACATAAACAAGAATGATTATCACAGTGCCATTTATAGATGATGCTGGAAACACCCTGTAGTGTAGAAATCACTCGCTGTCTACCAAAATCTTTCATCTTGCAAAGTAGTAGGATTGTGGGACAAATGCAAAACTCTTAGTGCTCTTCCCAGCACTCTTCCCTTCTCATGTGGGTGAGGTGGAATAGCTAACTTCTCTCTAGTAGAATGTGAGTGAAATTAATGTGTGTCACTTCCTGGCTGGAACTTTTAAGAGAGCAGGTGTCCCTCCACGCTTGCTTTCCCCTTCCTCCTGTAAGATGCAGATGATTACGAGATCCTCAGGGATTGCAGAGCACAAAATGGACTCTAAATCACCCTGTGAAGGAGCTGTTTGCCTCCATCTTAGACTGTTACATGACTTTCATGTGAGCAAGAAATAAATTTTTTTAAGTTATGTTGTTGGTCTGTCACAGCAGTTTCGCCTACTCTAATACACAACCCAATTGTCCACCAGGAGAATGGATAAATTGTGACATAAGTCATACAGCGGAATAGTATATGGCTATAAAATTAATGAGGGTGTCTTGGATCATCAGGTATAAATCTCACAAATAATGTCTGGAAAAGCAAGTTGCCAAATACATCAAGGGTACCATTTATATAAGGTTTTAAGACATGCAGTAACATTGTTTATAGATACATGTATGTAAAGTAAAAGCATGAAAACATGCGTAAGAGTGATAAACACTAAATTTAATATATTGCTTCTGGGATTCAGGAGGGATTTCACCTGCATTTGTCATTATTTCTTAAGGTAGTAGTGAGCTTGTTAAACTTTTCTCTATGTCTGAAATATTTCATTTTAGAAAGCAATTCACATACACATCAAAGAAAAATATATTCTGGTCAACTTCTTAAAAGGAGCACTGTAAATTTCACTTGTTTTATCTTAATCTTTGATTTCCCTCACTTTATAATCTGTTTTTCCTCATGTCTTCCCCACTTCAGCAGACTGTACCCACTGTTCAGATGCTGGGGCCAAGAATGTAGTTTTCCTTGATTTCTTCTTACTTCTCAAAGTGAATCCATTAGCAGGTTCTGTCCACTACCAAATAAATCCCTAATCTGTTCACTCCTTTCCTCTGCCACCCCAATCCAAACCATCATCCCCTCATGTCTAGACTACAGCAATGGCTTCCTAATTGGTGTCCTACTTACTGTATACTGACTAGGACACACTATCCACAGAGCAGCCAGTGTCTTTAAAAAAATCAGACCTCATTTGCTTGCTAAAAGCCTAATGGTTTCCCATTGCTTATAGAATTCGAAAAACCCTTTATGTTGGCCATCCAGGCCTGCTTGCCAGTGTTTAAAAAAAAAAGTTGTGTTGGATCTGACTCATAGCGACCCTTCCTTGGGTTTCCAAGGAGGTATCACTACAGAAGTAGATTTCCCCAACCTTACCTAACTAGTCCCATTTATCTACTCTACCCATTCCCTAACTATACTTTAGCCACACTGGCCAAGATTCCAAGCTTTGAATATACCAAGCTAATTTATTACTTTAGAACTTTTGTACTCACTGCTCTGCCTAGAACAGTTTCTTCCAGTTTCCAGTTTATTCAGGTCTCAGACTACATTTTCTCTCAGAGGTCTTTTTCCAACCAAAGTCACTTTCTGTAACATCACCCTGTTCAATTTTCTTTATAGCAAAGTAGACAAAAAAGGTTCCGAGAACTTGAGTTGGCCCCCCCTACTCACTTGGGGGTATGGATTTCAGATATGATTCACCCTTTTTTAAAATCTTTCAGCTTTTAGAATGTTCACTCTGAAAGGAACAGCCATAATTGATCCACCAGATCCTTTAACTGGGACGATAAGTAAAAATAAACTTGAGATGAAAATGGAAGTTCCCCATTCCTGAATGAGATAATCAGGAAGTAATGGCAGGAGGGGAATTAACAACAGAATAATAAGAGTCTACCAAAGATTCAAGAGTCTTAAGATCCCTCCTACTTTCTGACTCTTGGTCAGCCTTGTTATGTGCCATCGAGTTGGACCTGACTCAGCGACCCCTCCTTGGGTTTCCAAGGTGGTATCACTACAGAAGTAGATTGCCCAACCTTCCTTCCGAGGAGTGGCTGGTAGGTTTGAACCACCAGCCTCCTGGTTAGCAGTAAAGTACCTTAGGCACTATATTTTCCTGCTGTTTTTGTATTCACAGAGAATAGGGCCTCAAACTTGGGTTGTATACTGTGCTTTTCAAGTTCAGTCTATTTCTAGCTCACAAATAACTATGGTCAGGGTATGCATGATGTCAACTGCACCTAACAACATTGACAGTTCCTGCCATTTTAGTATTTGACACTAGACATGAAGAAATGAGAGAAGTGTGATAAAGTATAAAGTACACTGGAACAGTTAAAATATAATCCTAAATAGATCTTTATTGTTTAATAACAAAAAAATCCTATATTTATCAGGAAAAACTATTAAAGCTAGAAGTTACAGGCATTTGGAGGAAGGATACTTTGTTTTAAATCTAAGATTAATTCATGAAATGGATGAAACAAAATTCAAGAAAATTTTGAAATGTTTCATCATTAACAATTTCTGAAAAACATAAAAGTTTATATTTTTCCATAGAAGAGCAATGTTAAAATATTATATATTATAATTACAATATATAATAATAAATGTTTAAAATATTATAAATAAATATGTTATATTTTTGAACTAGAATTCAACATTAAGCAACTCACTGGTCTAAACAAATGTCATAAACGCAAAAAATACAACCATGCTAAAATCTATACTAAAGTACTATTCTCAGTTCTATAAAATGGACAAACATATGGCACATGTTAATTATAAAAGGCATTTCATGGAGCTCTGGTAGCATAGTGGCTAAGGCACTTGCCTGTTAACCAGAAGGCTGACGGTTCAAACCCACCAGCCACTCCTTGGAAGGAAGATGGGGCAATTTACTTCCATAGTGATACTGCCTCGGAAACCCAAGGGCCCGACTCGACGGCACATAACAACAACATCGTGTACATGTAGTAAGAAAATACAGTAAATGACCTAAATCCAAAATAATGTAATATTACTTGTCACAGAATTTAGAATGCTGCTAGGGAAACAGGGTAACAATGGCACACGACTCTTAAAAAGCGTACAAACATTTTCAAACTTTTGATGTGTTTTCTTAAGCAGAAGCATTTAATTGTTACTGATGTGCTAGGTGTTGCCTCTTAGAAAACATTTTTAAAATGTTCATCCTTTTTCAGCTTCTCAATTTATTCAAAGCTAAAACTGTAGGGGCTTAGCATTAGCACAAAGGTTATTTTACCTAATACTTGTTGGACTTGCTGTTTACCAAAATACTTTTCACTTCATGAAAATACTGTAGAAGGATCAACCTGGTCACTGACATAAAACTAAAAAGAGCTTAAAAACACTTGCCTTTCTTTAAGTATGAGATATTGGGCAAGTGGTTAGGTATTATGTTTAGGTTATATATTATGCTAACTGTGGAGTTATGTGGAACATTTATTAGCAAGATCTAATTAGAAGAGTAACTGGTTCAGGAAAGCCAGTCACAGTACTTTCAGGGAAAAAGCACCCAATCCTTTACACCTACAAACAGCAATCTGAGATTCCCAAGCCTTCCTAACTGGGTTTATGCAGCACACCTAAGAGTGCTTGCTCAACACTTAAATATGTGTTCCTTTATGAATTATTTGGATTTAATCCTTGATTTGGTGCCTAGGGGAGGGTTAAGGGTGGTCTTTGGAACATCCTGTTACTTTCCTTGTATTCGTTGCCTTCCCCGGATTATGCCTTCTAGATACCACTGTTCCTGCTGCAGTTGCTGTTTCCTGTTTTTTAACTGGCTTTCACAAGCCACCAACTCCTGGGATTGTTTAACTAGGTGCTTTAGATCCTTCTGTAACTGTTGGTTCTCTCGGTTGATACCATGATAGAACTCAAGAGTATACTGCTTTGCTGCCAACTCTAAGGCCTGGCTCCTCTTCTTAAGCTCCCTTCTTTTTCTCTTTCCTAACTGGCTTATGTCTGGCTCACTCAGTTGTTTCTCCAAAAATGCTTTTTCCTGGAGTAACTGGGCTTGTACTTCCTGTGCTTTTGCAGCTGTCTCATCTTGGATTTTCTTTTTCTCCTTCTGCAATGTCTGCACTTCTGTCTCCTGTTTTTCCTTCAATATTAAAATGTCCTTCATTGCCTTCAACTGGTTCTTCAAAAGGGTTTGGGTCTTTTCTTTCTGCAAGAGCTCTTCTTTAAGCACTGAAGTTTGTTTTGCATATCTGGAGACAGATTCCTGCTTCTGAAGTTCAATCTCCCCACTTTTTTGTACATAGTTGTTCCACAGCTTCTCTGGTTGCTTTCTATAGTCCTCAGTTATTTTGGTTAGGTATTCCAGAATGAATTTGTGTTCAGCCTGGACAAGTAGCTTTTCAGTGCATAGCTGCCTGCTGTCCTCCTGTAGCGTTTCCTGCTGTATTTGAGCTCGTTTTATTTGATTGTTCAGCTCTATCACTTCCCTCATTGCCTTTTCTTTAAACTTCATTTCAGCCTTTGTTAGCGTCTCTGGGTTGAAAAGATTATCTATTAGACTAAGATATGGTGGAAGAGGCAGTCCAGGGCCCTCAGCAAACCTGAAGGAAGAACAAATGATACATTCCTCATTGGTTATTAATGAACATTCTGGAAACTAACAAAACACATTTATACTTTGATTCATATGAGAAAATATTTTTGAGAACCTAGTATGTTCCCAAGAGTCTCTGGGTTACACAAAAGGCTAAGTGCTGGAGTACTAACTGAAAGGGTGGTTCAAACCCAAATAGAGGCACTTGGAAAGAAAGGCCTGGAGATTGGCTTTGGAAAGGTCAGTCTTGAAAACCCTATGGAGTTCTACTCTTGACACACATGGGGTTGCCATGAGTCGACACCACGGCAACTAACAGCAACAACAACACGTTCCAAGAGAACACAGGGGCAAAGATGAGGAACTATAGTTTTCAATTTTAAAAAGGAGAAAACTGGTTCAGGATTTAAGTGAGCTGCTCATGGTTTACACCGCTAACAAATGGCAGAGTCTGCCAAGATCTTATGGCTTACAGCTGCTACAGTGGGTCACAGGAAAAAATAGAATTAGCTCAGCTTTTTCCTCACGTTTCCCTGGTTTCCTAGGGCGCTTCCGCGAGAGCAAACTTTTCCTCAACTTACGTGCGCCGGGGATCCAAACGTTCATCCTCAAGGTGATGATGACGCTGTGGTTCAGTACTGGTAATGGCCAAGGAGCAAGCGCTAGGGTCCGGGGCCTGCGACATGGAGGAGGAACTGTGTCCAACTGCTTTAAGTTCATGCAATTTCTCGGTTTTATGCTTAACGGGTCTCGGCGCGGCCCAGCAACCCCAGGGGTGGCGCGCCGCGTCAGTCCGAGCCAATCCTTCTCTGACTTGCTTAACCTTCTCGGCTGCAGGGTAAGCCCAAACAGCTAGTTTTTCTGAGGCTCTGCTCCCCGCTCTTTGGGGGCTGAAAGTGAGACCCACTCTACTCATTTTCCTTCTGTGGGAGCCCTGCTCTCGGGTTCTCGTCTCGTTTCGCCTACCAGGGAAATAGGGCTTTACTATATCCAGGCTTTACTCTGTAACCGTGAACGCCCCTTTCCCATCTCCCCTTCTGCTCTCTTCTCAGTTGCCCAGCGCAACCACTTCGCCACTGTCACTAGTTGGCCCCCGCACCCGACAAAAACGCAAAGAAGGGACTTAGGGGCTCCGCCCCGCCCCTTCGTCCTTCACTTTCCAGACAATTCGGCTCTATGATCCTTCCCAGCCCAGAGCGTCGCGGAAGTCTGTCTAGCCATGCAGCGTCTCTATCGTACGGTGGGCGGATCTAGAAGAAAGATGTCGGCCCCCTCAGATACGTTTGAGCCACAGGCTTCAGGGGGTCCTCAACCACCAGTGTGTCTGTTGGTGTTGGGAATGGCGGGATCCGGAAAAACCACTTTTGTACAGGTGACTTATATGGCGCGGGCGTAGTAAGGTTATAGCGACGAAAGGCCTAATAGAAAGGGAAGGAGGTCTTGGGAGGTTCAGGGTACCCACGCGTGGCTTTCGGAAACTTCACATCAGCTCCGGTGCCTTCCTCGGCCAAGTCTTCTCGGACTCTAACCTGGATTAATTTAGCCTTTCTTCTGTGTACCCTCAGTGCTCAGTGCATACTTGGTACAGCTTAATACGTTGTACTGGAATTGTCTTGCCGATAAAATTTTGAACTTCTGGAAGGAAGGGGCTTATAGCAAACTCCAGCAGTTAAGACATTGCTAGTGCACAGACTTCTCGGTGATGATTTGTTAATTAATTATTAGTTGTTTTGTCTACCATGTTCCAGACGCTGAGAATATAGCGAAAATGAGGTTGGCAAGGGGCCTCATTTCATGGAGCTAATATTTTAGTGGGGGAGACAAGATCCCCGAACCCTCCCCCCCCCCAACAAGCAGATAAATATATGATAGTACTAGAGGACGCTCTGTTAGATGGGTGATAAAAGTAGCATTTGAACTAAAATGAATGTTCGAGGTGAACATAGGGAATATGTATTTCAGTTAGAGGGAGGATTAGGTGCAAAAGCCTTCAGTCCTGGGCAATAAACAGTGGAAGTTCTCGTCCCTTTATAGTCTTTTTCTTCTCCCTCCACTGCCTGGTATCTCCGCAGAGACTGTCCGGACACCTGCATAGCCAGGCCTCTCCACCTTATGTGATCAACCTGGACCCAGCTGTGCATGAAGTTCCTTTTCCTGCCAATATTGGTGAGTGACCATTGGAGAGCTTGTGTGAGCTGGTGTGAAGTGCCTGAAAGGGAATGGGACGCCTTAGCCTTCCAGTCTTCAGTGCCTTCATTTTCATCTTTTCTCAAGATCTACTTTGATTTCTCTTGGATCTGTTGGTCTTTATCCAGATTTCTTCTTTATTCCCACTTTCTTTGTTCCTTCCCTTTCCTAAATTTTTGTCTTCTTCCCATTCACCTTTATCTCTGTTCTTTCTGACCCTAGTGTGCCAGGCTGTTGTTATTTGGGTAAATAAGTGACAGAAAGTTAGTCCTTTCACTTCTACACCATAAATCTTTCAGCTGATTCTAATACATAACCACCATACTTTTTCCTTTTAGTTTCTTTTCTTAAAATTGAGAGTATAAAGCTTCTTATGCTGTAGTTGACTCACAGATCTTTAAGGATCTTGCTCCAGCTCCCACAGTTACATGGGAAAATGTGTGTTTAAATGCATATTTGTGCATTGTTCTGGGGAGAGTGTCCCATTTTTCATAAAATTCTAGGAGGAGTCCATAACTACAAAAAATAATAAGAATGTATATGATCTAATGTCATGATTCTTGACAAGTTCTAGGCTTCTTGATTTCTAAGTCATCCTTCCTTGTCTCTTCTTAATCCCAAATAAACTGCTGTGTTCCAAACATGGTAATGAAGGAGAGACTCTATTAAAGAAGCAGATAAAATTTTGGAAAGAATTTGGGGAAAAAAATGCTCATCTTCTCACCTAACGGTTGGAGTTCTAATACTTGATAGGGGAGGTCTGTAGACAGGTGAGTAGATTTAGTTAGATACTATTGGACAGATTAATTTCTTTTTTAAAAGTAATGTCTACACTGCCTTTGTTACTAGTAGGAAATCAGTAAGAAATAAACTTTTTTCTTTAATGAGCTGTGTTTTTTCTGTGCATATGATCACTGATAAAATATTTAAGTTGCATAAAAATTTTCTCATTGTTTCAGACAATATGTACACTCTAACTTTGGAGTTCCTATCTTAATGTTCTCTATGGGTTACTTGGCACTTACCCTTTGTAAGGAAGGAAGCCAGTGTTTCCAAGATGGAAACGTTGTTAGAAGCACAATCTTAAAGAGAAGCTATGAAGGCTACTTTAAATTTCTTACTTGTAGAGAAGTTGCTGACAGGGCATCTTTTGTCCTTCTTGTCATTCCCTCACAGTCTTGCTCCATAATGCAATTGAGTGCTCTAAGCTTAAAATTTAGAAATGTGAGAAGTAACTCAGATACCAGGAAAGAAACTTATTTTCTTCCTCAGAGGAAACATAACTTGAAAGGCTTGTTGGTTTAGGACATTATAGGTGGAGGGCCTAAGATTATATTCTTATTTGTTGAATCCCAATTAATTCTCGTTTGTTTCTTTTTCCTTCAGACATTCGTGACACTGTGAAGTATAAAGAAGTCATGAAACAGTATCCTTTTTCACATTTACTTTGATATTGACTCATCCCTGGCTAGTTTCTAGCTGTGTATTTTATTGCTTTGAAGTATTTTTGCCTTTCCTTGCAAAATAGAAAGAAAACATTTGATTGCTTTTATAGTAATTTTATTAGGAAGATTAGGTATTGTGGATGATCAGAAGTACTCTTATAGCTTGGATTTCAGTTTTCTTACCATCTCTCCAGACTATACGCTGGTGTAATTAGAGAACATTGCGAATGAAAAGCTAGCTGACTGCTTATCCTGGGTCCCACAGGGTGACATTACCTTGGAGGATACACTTATTGGCCACCACCTCTTCACACTGGGGAACTCAGATATTAGTAAGCCTAGTAGGATTAACTCTTAGCGCCTAGCTGTGTGAACTGTGTTCTCTTCTGGTAGGTAAGTCTAGGTGGTTGTAGTTGTGAACCATTGAGTTGATTCTGACTCATAGTGACCCTGTGTAACAATAAAACTGCCCCATAGGGTTTCCTAGGCTGTAATTGTTAATGGTAGCAGATCCCAGCAGTGGCCTTTTCTCCTAAGGAGCCACTGGAGGGTTTGAACCGTTGACTTTTGGTTAGTAACCAAGCACTTAACCATTGTGCCACCAGGGCTTCTCAATTCATGACCGAATTATTTTTTGTTATGAAATTTTTGTTGATAGCATGTTTTTTCAGTAGTAGAATGCATGCTGAATCATTATCATCTTAAATTTTTGTTAGGTAAAATAAGAGTTTTGATAAAATACCGGGTACACGTATGTTCCACTGGAGCCCAGTGGTAGGACTGATGGGATGAGGCATGAAAAAAATTGTTTTATTGTGGAATTTTATTTTGTGAAAGTTTTTAAAACATGAGGTAACACATAAAGGCACCTTGCGTTGTTGTTGTTGTTAAGTGCCGTCGAGTCGGACCCAACTCATAGCGACCCCTCCTTGGGTTTCCGAGGCAGTATCACTATGGAAGTAGATTGCCCCATCTTCCTTCCGAGGAGTGGCTGGTGGGTTTGAACTGCCAGCCTTCTGGTTAGCAGTCAAATGCCTTCTATGTTCTGGAATAGTTTGAGTAGCACTAGTGTTAGTTCTTCTCTGAATGTTTAGTAGAATTCTCTGGTGAAACTGTCTGGGCCAGGAGCTTTTTTTTTGTTGGTAATTTTTTTATGACCTGTTCAGTTTCTTCTTTTGTTATGGGTCTGTTCAACTTTTCCACCTCATTCTGTGTTGGTTTACGTAAAAAGTATGTTTCTAGAAATCTGTCCATTTCTTCTAGATTTTCAAATTTTTTGGAATATGGTTCTTCATAGTATCCTAATATTATCTTTTTTATTTCAGTTGGTTCTATTGTGATGTCACCCAGTTTGTTTCTTATTCGTGATATTTGTATTCTCTCCCTCTTTTCCTTTGTTATATTTGCCATTCGTTTGTCAATTTTATTAATCTTTTCAAAGAACCAGCTTCTAGTCTTGTTGATTTTTTTCTATTGTCTTTCTATTTTATTTCATTGATTTTTACTTGAATCTTCATTAATTCCTTTCTTCTAGTGACTGAAGGCTTTTCTTGCTGTTCTTTTTCTAATTGTAGAGATGTTGGTTTAAGGTGTTGATTTTGGCTCTTCTTTTTTGATGTGTGCGTTTATTACTAGAAATTGGCCTCTGAGCACTGCTTTTGCTGTGTTCCAAAGATTTTGGTATGTTGTGTTTTCATTCTTGTTTGATTCAAGGAATTTTCTAATTTCATTTCTTCTATTACAGAGTTGTTCTTAAGGAGGATGTTGTTCAGTTTCCATGTTTTTGCTCTTTTTCTGTTGATCTTCCTATTGTTCATTTCTAATTTGATAGCATTGTGATCTGAGAAGATACTTTGCACAATTTCAGTGTTTTTTAAATTTATTAAGCCTTGTTTTATGGCATAACATATAGTCTATCCTGGAGAATGTTCCATATGTACTGGAAAAGAATGTGTATTGTGCTGTGTTGACTGAAGTGCTCTGTAAATGTCTGTAAGATCAAGTTGATGGATTGCATTGTTTAGCTCTTCTGCATCTTTGTTGAGTTTCTTTCCATTTGTTCTGTCTTTGATTGAAAGTGGTGTATTAAAGTCTCCTATTATGACTGTGGAGTCATCTGTTTGTCTTTTCAATTCTGTTAAAGTCTCATTTATGTATTTCGAGACTCTTTCATTGGGTCTATAGGTATTTATTATGGTTATATCTAATTGTTCAATTGATCCTTTAATCATACAATGTTCTTCCTTGTGTTTTCTAGCTGTTTTTATGTTAATAATTTTATAAGAAATTAATACTGCCACTCCTGCTCTTTTTACGGTTGCCATTTGTTTGACATATTTTTTTTCCAACCTTTGATTTTTACACTGTTTTTGTCTGTCTCTAAGGTGTTTCTCTTGTAGATAGCATATTGAGGGGTTATGTTTTCTTATCTATTCTGCAGCTCCTCATCTCTTGAGTGGTGCGTTTAATAAAATGATATTCAATGCAGTAATTGACAAGTATGAATTTGTTGCTGTCATTTTGTCGTGTGTTTTTTGTGGTGTTCCTGGTTTATTTGTTCCATATAATTTTCTGTGCTGAGCTCATTTTGTTTGTGTTGTTGTTGTTGTTGTTATCTGCCATCGAGTCGGCCCCAACTCATAGTGACCCCTCCTTGGATTTCCGAGGCAGTATCACTACGGAAGTAGGATTGCCCAACCTTCCTTCTGAGGAGTGGCTGGTGGGTTTGAACCACCAGCCTTCTGGTTAGCAGTCAAGTGCCTTAGGCACTATGCTACCAGAGCTCCTCATGTTGTTTATAAATCATGTTATTTCCTTGGTTGCTGTTGTTGCAGTATTTGCTAAATATTTGTGCTTGTAATTGGGCAGAATTTGTGAAGCCATTTGTAGCCAGATTCTCCTTTGGGTATGGTGTTTGAATTGTCATTGCAGTGTATGCTATTGTTCAGGGTCTTGAATCTTGTTGAAGTAGTAATTTCTGCAATAGAAGTAACACTCAAGATGGAATCACTGGATGAATAATGTCTGAGCTCCAGCAAGACGTGTACCCATTAGTATGTGCACAGCAGTGAGTGTCTTTATTTCCTCTACAATTGTAGGCTGACAGTCTTTAGTTGGCATTCTAATCTCCTGCCCTCTGTATCATCTTGTGTGCTCCTGGTTTGTGTAAAGATATGTTTGGTGCTTTATAATTTCTAAAATCTTCTATAAATATAGACAAAAAATAATTTACTTCTGTATCTTCATTGGTCAAGTCTGGGTAAACTTTGCCATATTACTGAAGTAAGGTCATTATATTTTCAAAGTAGGCAATATCTTCACACCATTCACATTTATTTTCTTTGCTTTCATCACAGGCATCATCTGGTTCAACTCCTGTTCCACATGGACCACTTCATCATTGTCTAATACCATGTTAGTGTCATTGTTTTTACCAATAAAATGAGCTTTAGATTCCAAAAGATGGGTAAGCTGTCCTGAAGTATCTTCGTCACACTCCTTCTCAGACTCTTTGTGGTGCTTGGTATGGCTTTTCTAGCCATGGTCTTTGTGACTCCCACCAGATTACTAGGTGGGACTATGCAAATGAGGTGTATGGAATTCTAATGTGAGGATTGGTTACTTGCACTATGTTGCTGGCCTTAAAATGAGCCCTCCTAGAGGTAGAAGGAGGAGGTCTGGTAGCATAGTGCCTAAGGCACTTGACTGCTAACCAGAAGGCTGGCGGTTCAAACCCACCAGTCACTCCTCGGAAGGAAGGTTAGGCAATCTACTTCCGTAGTGATACTGCCTTGGCAACCCAAGGAGGGGTTGCTATGAGTCGGGTCCGACTCGATGGCACATAACAACAGCAGAAGTAGAAGGAGCTCTGGTGGTATAGTGCCTAGGAGCTCTGGTGGCGTAATGCCTATGGCTGGTGATTCAAACCCACCAACCACTCCTCATAGAGAAGATTGGGGAAAGCTACTTCCTTAGTGATACCGCCTTGGAAACCCAAGGAGGGGTCGCTATGAGTTGGATGCGACTCGACGGCAGTGAGTTTGGTTTGGATTTTTAGAGGCAGAAGAGGGGATCTCACTGCCATGAAGAGAGAAGAGCCAGAGGTGGAGTGGAGTTGGTTCTTGGATCTGAGATCCCTGTGTTGGACCTCTTTGGCAGAGAGATGGCTGGAAGAGTTGTCCAGGAGGCATGAGACAGAGTGATGGGCTTGCCAGTCCATGGACCTGTTGGTAGAGCTAAAAGAACTTTGTAACATTTGCCCAAGCAAGGTAGACCCCAGGCTGAGAAGCATGCCAGAGAGGTGTGCTTGCCAGCATAGCAGAGGGAAGAGTGTCCTGAAAAGAATTGTGTCCTGAGGACATTCCTGAACCTGAGTTGTAGCCAGTTACTTCCCTAAAAAACCCTATAATTGTGTGTATTGTCTGTGAGTTCTATGTGGCCATTGCAATGAATTATTGAACCCAGTAGAGAAGTAGTGAGTGTCATGGGATGGTTGGTGTCAGGATTGGTAAAAAGGGTAGAGGGTGGCAGTGTTTCTGGCCTCATAGGAATAAGGCTTGGGTTGTTGATGGTGATTCTTTCTCCTTGTGAAGTTAGAGGATATCAGAAGATGCCGTCCTCATGCCCTTTTTGCACTCTTCCTCGTTTTTGGGTAGAGAAGAAAAAATGGAAATTTCTTCATCCTTCAAAGAGTCCATTTCTTAAAAAGAGGAATGTTTCAGAAAAAAAATAATAATTCCAGGCTCTGCAAAACTAGGATAATAACAATACTGTACCTCCAAACAAATACAATACCAAGGGACAAAATTGCAGAATTAAAGCTTCCTGTAAAAATAAAGAAAACAAAAGGAATTGGTGTTATGGGAAAATTAACTACTGTAATGAATTAAATTTTATCAGAAAAGAACTACTTATAGCTCGTAAACCAGAAGAGAAGCCCTGAATAATTGCAGGAAATGTACATATAGTATGGCAAGTGCTACAACATGCGTGAAAATAAGTAATTTCCCTTGAAAATTATATCATCACCAAAAACACATCTTCCAAATAACCACAGGAAACTGTAAATATACAATGAGTGTGAGGATGGCACAGGAACAAACAGCGTTTTGTTCTACTGTACATAACATCACTATGAGTTGGAAACAATTCAGTGGCACCTAATAACGTCATAATGCTGTTTGTATGAGTAGTGATAACCCTAAGTATCAGTTAATAATTTAAATTAATCTATAAACCATTTAAATCCTCAACTTAGTGACTAGATATGGTCTTGGGCCCAATGGTGGCATAGTGACTTCACTCAATCTCTTTGCTACCAGATTTGATCAGGTAAGTGTCTTTTGTGGATGTGGCTGTGTAAAAACTTGTGACTCTTAAATGCCTTTGCTTGGGTTCATTGGGAAAGAAGAACAATAAACCTGGACATCATTGTAGAAAATAAGGAAGAATTTTGGTAGGTAAATCAGTAGGCTTTGAGAAGATCAATGTTGTGAGAAGCTTCACATTTAGTATTTGTGGTGATAGCCAATAAAACAAAGAACCAAGAGACCTGGGTCTTATCTGTTGGCTTGCTGTGTTGCCTATGAATGGAATGGAGGGACAGGGAAATAGGATGGGCCAACAGGCATGGAATGGAAAGAGGATGGGAATTTTTACTTGGGACAAGTATTTGTCATCCTTTAGATTTTCTCTGATACTTTGAACTTCTCTGAGAGTAATAATTAATTTACTGCCCTTATATCACTCCGTGATGCAGGATATTAGCATTTTATAGAAGTGCCAAGAGATGTGACTTGACAGTGACACATCTGCTCTTCAGCATCTTGGGTCCTTGCTCTGTGGGCAGGGTGTTGTTACAGTATTGGTTGATGTGGATGTGTTTCTACAGATCTGTGAGTTTCTTAGTTAACATCCTACTATTGAGAACACAGAGATTCACAGTGGTACCTATGAGGAGTGCCACCTTAGAAAAGGCTCTGTGATTTTGCATTGAAATCTGATCTTGTTATATTGGCATCTTTTTCTTTTAGGTGATGAAGTTTATTGAGAAGGCCCAGAACATGTCTAAGTGAGTGATTTTAGTTTAATACCTATTTTTTATTCTGTAATTGACACACTCCTAGGCTTTTGGGAAGATTCTAGGATACTGTCAAATTCTGAAAGGGTTGAGATTGAGATGAAGCAATTAGAAGTGAAAAAGAATGGGCAAAAAAATTACTAAGATGGTAATGAGTGTAGAGCTAAATTTAATATTATCCCATCCCCAGTTCCTTTATTCCCATGGCTTCTTGTGGGAGGATGTCTGAATAGGTTTTTTTTTTAATCACTAAGAATGATGCATAGTGGCTAAGACACTTGCCTGCTAACCAGACGGCTGGCGGTTCAAACCCACCAGCCACTCCTCGGAAGGAAGGTTGGGCAATCCTACTTCCGTAGTGATACTGCCTCGGAAACCCAAGGAGGGGTCGCTATGAGTCGGGGCCGACTCGATGGCACATAACAACAACAACAACCAGAATGATGTTACGATGTAATTTTTATTTTTTTTTTTATTGTGATTTGGGTGAAAGTTTACAGAGCAAATTCATTTTCCATATAGCAGTTCACATACACTTTGTCTCATGACATTGACTATAATTTACCACAATGCAACAGCTCCCTTCCCACTTCCTCCTGATAGTTACCTCTTCCCTATGTCCATCCCTTCATGCACTCCTGCCTCCTGACTATCTCCCTGTGCATAAACAGCCCTTCATTTCTCCTATAATTGTTCTCTCCAAGGAGTGTATCTACCTCAGGTATATGTTCAACTCATATGCCTGTCTTTTGTTTGGCTGGAAGCCACAGATGTGGGTTCAATTCCAGACCTGAAGGGCAGCTTGGGACCAGCTTGGCAGTCTCAGTGGTTCCACCAGGCTCTATTGGACCAGCACATCTGGTCCCACTTTTTTTTTTTAATAGGTATTTTGAGACGTCGTCTATCTGCCTTCTCTTGGGAAACCATGCTTGTTGGCATCAAAGCCCCTTTTATACCTTTCCACCCCTTGTTTAAATGAATATAATTTACATGATTCAGAGAATAATTATTTTTTTCATTAAAAATTTATCAAAATATAAAATAATATTCATACTTATTACTCATAATTAACTGATGTTAAAGTCTTAATGTTTTTGTTTTAAAAAAAGAAAGATAATTCATTGTTTATATAAGAAGGATGTACGCTCATTATAAAGAATTCAAGCCGTGTATTACATGTAAACAATGACAGTCACCCTGATTCCTACTAGAAATAACTACCATTTAAATTAAGTGACTAGCATTCCACATTTCTATGCATATATACATAGGTAGAAAGATGATGGATAAAGGTGTTTTTTAAAAAAATAGGATCATACTAGAGATACTTTAAAAAAGTAATACTTTATTAAAGTATATTTCACATATCATAAAGTTCACCCTTTTAAAACGTACAATTTAGTGGTTTTGAGTATATTCACAAAGTTAATACATTGATCACCACTGTCTAATTCTAGAGCATTTTCATCACCCTCAAAAGAAACCTGGTACTCATTAGCGGTCAGTCCCTATTCCTTTCTCCCCCTAACCTCTGGCAGCCGCTAATCTACTTTCTTTCTCTTTGGTTGCCTGTTTGAGACATTTCCTATAAATGCAGTCATACAATATATAACCTTTTGTATTTGGCTTCTTTCACTTAGCAAATGTTTTCAAGGTTCATTCATGTTGTAGTGTGAACAATGCTTTATTCATTTTTATGGTTGAATAATGTTCTGTTCTATAGATATACCACATTGTGTTTATCCTTTCATCAGTTGATGAACATTTGGATTGTTTCTACTTTCTGTTCTTAGAAGTAATGTTGCTATGAATGTTCATGTACAATTTTTTGTGTGCATGTATGTTTTCAATTTTCTTGGGTATATGTTTAGGCATGGAATTGCTAGCTCTTATGATAATTCTATATTTAGCTGTTTGTAGAACTACCAAACTATATAAAAGTTCCAGTTTCTTCCCCTTTGCCAACACTTATTTTTTTTTAATCTTTTAATTTTTATGAAAGTAGCTCCTTTTAGACATCTCATTCCCTAATTTTTTCTGTTAAGTTTTTTGGTCAGCCTCTTCTTAGCTCCAGCTGGACACGTAAGTTATTTCTTTTGATGGTATCCCACATGAACCTTAGGCTTTCTTCATTTTGTTTTGATTTTTTTTCTGATTGATCCCTTTCCAGAGAAGTATTCAGGTATTGTCTTCAATCTCATTAATTCTGTCTTTCATTGTATCAATTCTACTCCTTTGCCCTTCCAATGAGTTATCTATTT